CGTAATCGTTCTGCATTGTGAACATATGGAAGGGTTGCCACTTCATTTTCGTGTATTTTGTGGTCTGCATTGTGGTGGATTTAGTGATTTTAAAAAGAAAAAGTATTGATTTCATAATTTCCCCATTCATCTCAATGTGGGGTCTCCAGAGACTCCAAACACCCTGAGTGTGATTTTCTACATAGCACCTAAGGGTTAAAGGAGGGGCAGTGGATGATAACAGAAAACCAATGTAGAGTTTCATACTGTAACGATCGGCCTTACTGGAAGATGTTACGTTTGTTAAAATGGGGTCAGATTATACTGTGTGAGAGCTTGGAGTGTTTAAAAAGATGAGACGTACAACAGTTATGAAGTGAATAAACTGTATTTACAATTTCCACATGGAACTTAAAACAACACAATAAAACTAGAAAACCTAGGCAGTTCTTCAGCAATCCTACAGCCTGAACCACTGTAGGGAAACCACCTTTACAAATCACACCCACTGCAGTTTCTCCCCAAGAAAGTGTAGTTAACATTTTAATGTGCATAACATTTTTAAACTTGAGCTGGCTGTCCATGACTGCATAGTCAGTTCTAGTTTTTTGACAGCTCTGTTGAATTCGACTGAACTCAAAAGTAACCAAGCCAGATCTGCTAGATTGTCTCCTCCTTAAGTTCTTATTCCTGCAACACACATGACAAACTGAAAGTAACAGATTGATGGAAAATAAACTCTAATATCCTAAAGTCTGCTTTTATGGTTTTTAAAATCATGAATGTTATATTAACAGAAAAGACATTTCTTATGATACTAGTTTTCTGTGTGACTCCAGATGTGGTGGTTGCTTTTGTGTTTGTACAGTTACAATGAGAGTCTCCCCTGTGGTGCTGGATGATGGTACTGTCCATTGAGATAAAAAGAGAAGGGCGTTTTTCTGTAGACCTCTGAGAAGCAGATACACTCGTAGTACAAAGTAAGTGTTGGTATTGTCTTTTCTGTCTGTTTGTTTCTTTTTAAAATTACATTGCTTTAGGTTAAACCTTGATTTTGTCTTCCTGGTAGCACCAAGTTATATATTTCAGTTTGACTTTCACAAAATGCACAATATAAAGAATGTTATACATTTTATGTTTTAAGTTTTACATTTTAATTATTTCTCTATAGATTTAAAAATTAAATGAATTAATGTTTATGAATTACTATACAGAAAATAATATAGCAATGTTTTAAGTATATATAGTGTTTGTCAAGCATGTGACTTTTTGTGCAACTGTAAATAGTAATAGTTTATCTCACTAAATACAAAAAAGAGTAAGCACTAGTTAGGAAAACATTATTAAAATGGTTATTTATGAGTTTTAACATCTTGTTGCGTTACCCAGTTGTTCGTGATCTTCAAGATCACAAGGTAGAACAGAAGAGAAATGCAGAAGAGAAACGCAGAAGAGAAAGTAAAGTAGTTGTGGAGATTGTCTCAGTTGATTGGGTGTAGTTTGGCAATTCATTCCACCACAGAGGAACAAGTCTGAACAGCAATGTTTGAATGGCGAGGGCATTATATATAGTTACTTTTGTGTTTTTATGCAATCAAATGTACTGTTTTTGAGAGCAAAACTAATTATATTGTAATAAAAAAAAACAAGACTGTGCATCAAACTGTAATATTCTGCACATTTTTCTAAAATACAAACTCAGTGTATATTGTTAGAAAACATTTCTATTTTGAATAAATGCTGTTCTTTTTAACTTTTTATTCATCAAC